GGAGGAGGAGAGAGAGAGAGAGAGAGAGAGAGAGAGAGGAGACAGGCTGTGGCTTACTCTCTGACTCTCCCTTTTTCTACTAAGTTGCTCCGTGGGCTGCCTTGAGTTCCCACATCTGGATACTGCAGACGCAGAGAAGGCAAAATAAGGGAGGCACCGCCGCACCACAGAGGGTACCGGCGAGGACCGAGCCCCTGGAGGAGCCCTGTCGGATGTCAGCAGAGAGATGGCTTTGAGCTCAGCCTGGTGCACAGTCCTGCCCCTGTGGCTCCTCTGCGGCGCCGCCTGCTCCCGAGCGGCGTCCGGGGACGGCAGCACTTTTCCTTTTGACTTTGAAGGGAGCTCAGCGGTCGGCCGACTGGACCCGCCTGAGACCAGCGAACCTGGCGTGGCTCCCGGAAGCCTGTCGCCTCCGGCCAAGGTACAGTGTCCCTATCATTGTCACCCTGCTGGGGCACCTGTGCCCGGGCGCTGTGTGTGCCACACTCATGTTCCTCTCTCTCCCCTCCTCTTTCCCTTCCCCACCTGCCTTGAGAGTTTCACCTAGACCAGATCAGTTAGAAACTTGAAATAGAGTTTTACTTTTTGTGCAGAGAGCTGAGGCTTTGGAACATGTCCCTGTTCAAGCTGACAAAAGGGCATATATCCTGCATACTCTGAGTCGGCACACTAGACTTTCACCTGGGGCTGTAGTGGCATGTTTGTGACTTTCCACCACTTGTATGACCCAGTAGAGTCATTTTTGTGAAGTCACAGCAAAATGTGTGTGCCCTGTCACGGGCTTCCTGCTCCTCTGTGATGTCAGGACAGTGGGATCAATACTACAGGACCAATCCTTTCACCACAAATCAAACAGAAGGTCCTCTGCAACAGGGGAGGGTCAGGCAGATGGGGCACTATGGAAGCTACAGCACAGCAGATACCTAAAAGAGACATGAGCCATTGTATTTCAGAAACAAGAAATCACGATGAAAATTAAACTCCATCCCAAACATACATATGATGGGGATATGCTATTGATGGTATGCTTATTCAAAGAGCTGCTGTTTGAGTCCCTTACAATAGCAAGCATAAGCAAAATGTAGAAATTGAGTAAAGGAGGATGAATCCACAGTAAGTGATTTAAGAGCCGCCTGAGCCGAGACGGACAACAGCACATCCAGTATGTGGGAGATGCTAAGTAGGAGGAAAATGAAGTCACCTAAGTTCATGGGAAAGGAAAGAGCAGTTGACCCAACCGTGCACACACACACACACATATCTATGGTTACAACTATAGAACCAAAGCAGTTATGTGAATTGATACCATTTCTAACAGCACTGAAGTCAGGATTATGGTTATTATCCTACTAATTGTTAGTATAACTGTAGTTATTAATTATTACTGATAAAATAAGACGCATGAAGGTGGTCCTTCTTCAGGAGGGAGCCCTACCCATGCCCCCAGATGAGGGGAGGGTGGGTAGAGCCAGAGATACTAACCTCCTATTGTGGTGTGAAATATAATCTCCATGAGAAAGAGGGTCAACGTTGTACTCAGACAAGGGGAGAAGCCAGACCAGGAGACACTCCATGGAATGGGAAAGATTCATTTCTCTACAGGCTTGGAATTAAACCCCCTAGAAGCATTATCTCCACCTGTTGCTTTGAACACGGAAAGTCCCAGAATGAAATGCTTAAGAGTAGGATTGCCAGACAGAATACAAGACACCAAATTAAATTTGAATTTCGGATAAATGACAAAAAAGATTTCTGGTTATGTCTCAAATATTGCATGGGATGTATTTATACTAAAAAATTGTTCATTGTTTATCTGAAATTCAAATTTATCTGGGCATCCTGTATTTTTATCTGCTAATTTGGAAGAGACAGGCACACATAACTTTTTGTAACTCTCATTTCACGAAAAGTAAGAAAATAATTATTTGACTTTTAGGGAACCTTAAATTTATTGCTGAGACCTTGAGCAATTTATTAATATACCCAAATGTTCAGTGAAATAATAGGAAGGCAGCACAGCAGAGTGTTTTAAGTTGCAGCCTTTACAGTCTGATGGTCCCAAGTCTAAATTTCAACTTATTTGATCCTTACCTTGGGCAAATTACAGAGGCCCAACTGAGAAACTGAGGCTTAAAGAAGTTATTGATGTCTACTTCATACTTTACACAGTTATTGTGATGAAATTAGTTAAATATATAGAGAGAGTGCTTACCATAGTGCTTGGCATAGTATAAATTCATGGATGATTAGATTAAAACCCTTATTTGCGGATATTTCTCAGAACTTTATTTTTATGGTGTTATTTTACTTAATATTGCTTGTCTGTATCCTTCCAGTCAGAAAGAATGCCCTGTAGTGAGTTAAATTTGTACTCGGTCAGAGACTAATAGGTTCAGAATGTCCGTTGAGGCTTTTGGTTTAGAGAAACAGAAAGAAACTATTAGTCATTCCGGAGGGTCAAAGTATATGATGTAGAAAGGGTGGGATTGGGGTAATTACGTTCCCACTGCATAGTTTCACATAATGCCTCTAGTCAGCCTGCGGTCCCACGGTGATCCCACCATTTGGGTTTCCCATGCTTTTTATAGCCAGTAAGGAGACCTGAAAGCAAATACATTCTAGAGATTTAATAACATGGTACAACCACTCTACTGAATTGGTTCAGGAGGTTGCATTTTCATCTAGAAAGAAAGAGAACATGAACTCATATATAAGATATTCATTATTCATGGGAAGGTCCAGAGGTGGATGGAAGGATATTCTAAAAATACATTCATTTTATTTGAATTGGATTTATATGAATGATTATTCCTCAGTTCTCCTTCAAAGGGAAGGAAGAAAAATACTAAGCAAGCATGCAGCAGTGTGAGGTGCTAGGCCGACAGTCTTCCTAAGGCTTTCCTAAGCTTCTCCATAGCAGGACTGGCAACCTCTCAACCCCTGAGCCCTCCTCCCTCAATACAGACTAGGGCACACTGAGTAAGGGGAACAAATAAATATGCACTGAATGAAAGGATGGAGAGTGCTGGCTGACCAAGTAGAAAGCCCCTCCTTTCCTTCTAAATTAAGCACTAGCTTCCCCCAGGATGCAAAGAATTGCAAAAGAGGAGCACCCATGGGTAACTCTGTGCTCATTGGTAGAATTTTCCCACCATCTGCTCTCTTGTAAGCAGATAATTCACTGAGTCCATTATTTGTGATAGAATGGTAAGAACAATGATTCTCAGTAGGCGGGGGTAGGCAAAGGGGAACCTAGTTTCAAAAAGTATGTTTAGCATTCTAATATTTCACATTTAAGAAAAGAAAGTCTTCATTATACACACTATAGCAAGTGAAACTAGGCAGAAGTCTTCCTGATCAGTATGGAGAAGCAGAAGAACTGAAGGGGGTGCAGGGATGGAGATGGGAACAGTCCTCCAGGAGAGGGTATCAGAGTGTCCTTGGGAAGAGTGACATTCTTGTCTATCAAAAAGAAGGAGTTATAAACAAGGTCAAGAACACTAGGTTAGAGATTGATTAAAAGAAAACCTTAGTTGGGAATATTTCTCATAAATTTATTTTACGGTGCTATTTTACTTAATATTGCCACATCTGTTTGTCTATATTCTTCATGTCTAGGAAGAAACCACTCAGAGACTCAGGAGAGTGGAGAATTCTGCTGGAAGGGCAAAGTGGGAGGCGGTGAAGAGCGACAGTGCTGTTACTGCCTTTGGTAGATTATTGAGAAAATAAGGGGAATAACTGACAATATTGAGCAAACTTCCCTGAGAGGATAAAACAAGAGTTTATCTCCTGGTAACTCGACTGGCTATTCTGGGTTTTGCTGATGCTGGTCTTAGTTTCCCTCCAAAAGAAATTAGTGCCCCATGAACCACATGTACAAGTGTATCTCATACTAGATAAACTTGCTGTTAAAAAAAAGTACCAAGAACTAGACTAATTCTGAGGGACTCTTCTTCTAGACTCTTTTCATGGTTGATCTGTGATCCCACGCAAGTAGTTAGGTGCTCTTCACTAAAGGATTACAGTATGTTTATTAAAAGACAGCTTAGATTTCTTTCTCCTGCTTTTCTTTTCCTTATCTTGCTCCCTTTGTAAAAGGTCCTGTAGACTCACATTGAGACCTCCAGTCACTGCCCTGGGCCATCATTGTGTACTGCTGTTATACTGCTGTGCAGTAGGTAATATGCCCTCACTCCCCACCTCAGCATGCAGTCATTATTTCATTTACTTATTATCATCCAATGAGCAGGTTTAGAATCCTACTACGTACAGAGCAAAAACAGGTGACAGGAGGGACAGAAAGAAGGCAGAGTCACATCCTTATCCTCAAGGCATAAACAATCTAAGATAGAAATATATATTCAGAACCACTATATAAAGCAGAATGAATTAATGTTCTATAAGAGTGGCTACCAGCTAAGTGCCTTGGGGATAATGTGGAAAAAGTATTACTCCTGAGCTAGGCCAGTAGGGCAAAAATACATACTCACTAAATACCAAAGAAGGTTCCTGGGGAACATTATTTTAGAAGGACTGGAATATAATAGCAGTAGCAGTAGCAGTAATAATAATAGCATGGCTTAAAGCTGACACTCATTGAGTATTTACCATGTGCCAGACACTGTTCTAAGCACCTTCCATGAGTTATTTCCTTTAACCGTCAAGACAGCTCAATGGGACTGGTATAGTTACTATCTCATTTTGCAAATGTGGAAACTGAGGCACAGAGCATTTGCCCAGGCACCCTGCCTGGTAAGTATCATAGCTAGGAAGGAGATTATGAATGTAACTTGACTGTGCAAGAAAACGTGGTTAGGTAAATAGAATTATCTGTAGGAATAATTTTAGTCAAAGTTTAGGAATTTCTTAAAATGAAGATAGATAAAATACTGTTCAAAGACCATTTATGCAGTGCTTGCTAGATGAGTAGCATAAATTGCATGAAATCTTAGGATTACCAAAGAATTTAGATAACTCCCCTTCCCCTGTCCCAGTCTAAAAACTACTTCTTTATAGAAGGCTCACATAGGAAAGAAAAAATTAACACTTGTTGATTCTATTATGTTCCATGAAGTTATGTTACTTAACATTCAATAGTGAAAATTACACCCACTTTACAAATAAGCAAATTAATGTTTGGAGATGGTAAGTACTTTGCCCAAGGTTTCCAAATTCCTTTCTCTTT